TCTGCAGCCTCCTGTAGCAACAGATTCCAGAAGTTCACTATCAGCTGGGTAGAGAAGTGCTGTATCTGTTTTAATCTGGTCTCCTACTAGTTTTATCAAGTGCTCCTGGTTCTCATACCAGGGAATTTAGTGAACAACAGTTCTGCATTTACTTTATCCGCCATCCTTGTAATTTTTGTAAACTGTAGTCATCTTTCCCTACTCAGCCTTTTGTTCAAACTGAAGGGTCCCAGCGTTTTTAATCTATGCTTGCATAGCAGCTGCTCCACCCCCTTGGTCACTTTATTTACCCTTCCTTGGACTGTCTCTAGCTCTAGTATGTCCTCCTTGCAGTACAGAGACCAGAACTGCAAATAACACTTAGGATGTGAGCACACCAAGATTTTACGCAGTGGCAAAATGCCCCGCTTTGACTTGCTCTCAGTGTCCTTCCTAATGATGACCTACGTTTTGTTGTTGGGGTTTTGTTTGTTTGTTTGTTTGTTTGTTTTGTTTTTGTTTTTTTTTTTCTGTTGCTGTTCACTAAGCTGATGATTCCAGAGGACCATCAATGGTGACTGTAGGGTTTCTTTCTGGAGTTGTAACTGCCAGTTCCAAGTTCAACATAGCATGCATGGCTCTTTTTTTTTCCCCCAGATGCATTATTTTAACTTTATGTATGTTGAAGTCCATCTTTTTGTCTACTCACTTGATTTTGTGAGGTCCTTTTGAATTTCTTGCCTTTGACATTATTACTCCCCTAAATTATTTTGAAACCTAGTCAAGATTAACTCTCTGGAAATGAATCTGATCAAGTGGTGGATGTAAATTGCAGAACAATTTAATGCTGATAGCCTTAAACATTGTTATTGAAAAAAATCGTAGAATCATAGAATGGTTTGGGTTGGAAGGGACCTTTAAAGATCATCTCGTTCCAACCCCCTGCCATGGGCAGGGACATCTTCCACTAGACCAGGTTGCTCAGAGCCCCGTCCAACCTGACCTTGAACACTTCCAGGGATGGGGCATCCACAGCTTCTCTGGGCAACCTGTTCCAGTGCCTCACCATCCTCATAGTGAAGAATTTCTTCCTTATATCTAATCTAAATCTACCCTCTTTCAGTTTAAAGCCATTACCCCTTGTCCTATCAGTACATGCCATTGTAAAAAGTCCCTCTCTAGCTTTCTTATAGGCCTAATGTCTTTGTCTACACTGTTGTTATATAAGGCATTTTATAAAGAGGAAAAAAGAAATTAAAATCTTCATAGCTCATAAACTCTATACCTTTGCAATCTATGCAATTGAGATATTAATGTTCAAATATACCAAATACTAAATACACGTTGCTAGTCTAACTTGAATTTGTTCCTATTTAAGTAATTCTTAAATTGAGAATTTTATGGTTTTGTTTGTGGACTGATTATCTTAAGAGCAAATAATTTTGAGAAAAATAGTAGCAGTCCTAATATGTGTTGTTCTATACAATAGCATGAGTTTGTGATGGTGGGAAGGTAAAAACAGATATGGCTTCTCATAATGGTTTTAATAGCTATGTAAAGTTAAATACCCAAAAAAAAAGTTAAATTATTTCAGTAAATAATTTTATAGATGTGCTTACATTAAAATAAACCATTTGTGCATCTTTTGAAATAGATGAAATTAGGAAAATGACAAACATAGCAAAAAGCCCCATTTACCTGGTAATTTAAGATTGAAAAGAATTGAGGAATTGAGTTTCTTGTCATCTCAAAAGACTTGTTTTTCTTTTGAGTTTCTCTATGCAAAATGCCAGTGTGGATTTTTTTTTTTTAAGCAGAACTTAAAATCTGTTAAGAGTTAGATTGGATTAGGGTAACCCAAAGTTAGATTGTGGGTATGCTGTCATATGATATTTGTTACGATTTTAGTGATTTAGTATCCAGTAAAATGATAAAACAAGTTACTAATCTGAACTCTTGACTAAAAGTTGCTTGTAACTTCAGTTGTTTGCTAAACACAAATTTTGGACTCTAGAAACAATTAAAATCTGTTAAGAGTTAGATTGGATTAGGGTAACCCAAAGTTAGATTGTGGGTATGCTGTCATATGATATTTGTTACGATTTTAGTGATTTAGTATCCAGTAAAATGATAAAACAAGTTACTAATCTGAACTCTTGACTAAAAGTTGCTTGTAACTTCAGTTGTTTGCTAAACACAAATTTTGGACTCTAGAAACAACTGAATGCAGACACGCCCCAAATAAGAGTCTTTCCCACTGAACTGAAAGGTTTGAAGCCCCATGCCGTAGTATAATTCACTGTAATAGTGATTACTGAACAAGGTGAAGAAAACATTTTTAAACTGTAAACCAGTGTCAGATAAATATAAACCAGATTTTTCTCTACAGTTTAACTTTTAGCTTGAGCATTTAGACCTTCTCTTGTAATTACAGCTGTTAAATCAGAGAGTATCTGCAAGGGCTATTCTCACTTGGAAAGTCTTTTCACTCATAATATCTTCAAATAAATCTTCTGCTTAGTGAAAACACATTTTGGAAACGATGTGTTCATTAAACTGAAGATACACTCAAGTGCTTGGGATATGTCATTTGTCTTTGCTTACACTGAGGAAAAACATCCCTTTAGCATATTATGGTTTTACTTACGAGGAAAAGGGTATAGAGATTGCTGTACTTGCTAAGTTACTTCTTTTCTTGAAAATACAAGAAAATCAGAACAGTGATATGGTTACAGCTAAATCATTAGATGAGGTGGAAGTGACTTTAAAGAAACAATTATTGGGAGGATTTTTTTATTTTTACCTCATCTTTGTTCTTATAAAGAAGTCTATAATACTGATTTGATGTGGAAAGACACAAGACAACAATTGATGGTCTGTGAGAAAAATACCTCTCAGGCAAAGCAGTTCTTGTTTAGGTAGAAGTTAATGGAAAAATATTCACTTTTTTTTTTCCTTCCCTAGATGCAGTTGGTTCTGTGCAAATCAACAAAGTTTGGACTGGAATTCTAATGACTTTTTTTGAAAGATCCTGAATTCTAGATTGTAGTTGTTGAGGCAGCCTTCCCACCCCGTTTTCTCACACAGGGATCTTAGATGGTGGTTTTGGAAAGGCTCTGAAATGGCAATACACTAACTTGCTCTTAAATCCAGTAGCCTGGTATGAATTAGAGATGAACTGTGTGACTTTCAGTGGTCCTCATGTTATGCAAACAGTGCTCAAATGGTGTTTAAATGAGCCTTTAGAAGAATTCTTCAGTGTACTTTGGAGATAGTATGCATTGCTACAATAAATAAATATATTTTTAGGATTCTGCCAGTCAAACCATCATGTTTATTTTATGTATTAATAGACTTTTCTGCAGCACTTAACATTGTATGGTCCTGCAAATATTAATGAATTTATGGATGTGGTGGGTTGACCCTGGCCAGAACTGAAGCCCCCACGCAGTTGCTCGCTCACTCCCCCCATCCTCTCCCCCAGTGGCGTGGGGAAGAGAATCGTAAGGGCAAAAGTGAGAAAATTCATAGGTAGAGATAAAGATTTTTTAATAAGCAAAGGAAAGAGGAAGAAAAAAACAAAACAAAATGACATTTTATGGCATGGAATATTCCTTTGGTCAGTCTGGCTCAGCTATCCTGGTTGTGGTGCCTTCTAGCTTCTTGGCCACTGCTGGCCTACTTGCCGGCAAGGCAGAGCGGGAAAAGAGAAAGTCGTGATGCCGTGCAAGTACTGCGCACCAAAAAGCTGGTGCGTTATCAACGCTGTTTTAGTCACAAATCCAAAACACAGCACCATACAGGCTGCTATGAAGAAAATTAACTCCACCTCAGCCAGAGCCTGTACAATGGATTAGACGTGAAGCACTGAGAGATCAAGTGATTTCCCTCCCCGGGGATCATTCATGAAGTGCATAAAAGAAATAAGATATTAGCAGATATTTCTTGTGTCTATTTAGTATCTGAAGTAAGATCAACTGAGGAAGAAGTCACTGTGTTATTGTAACATTCTAGTATGTAACAACCTTTTCTGTCATTCTAAAAAAAAAAATTATTTTATCTTGCGTAAAGTTCATAAACATCACTTTTTGGATTGCTTTTGCTGACGGTACTTAAATGTCCGTGACTCTAGCTTCTGGCATACTTCAGAGCTTGAAATAACACATAACTAACTCACCCTTCATCCTGAAGCAGACTTAACCCCCTGCTCCTCTTTATTTCAAGATGGATCTTTCGAAGTTACTGGAGTACTAAGGAGACTGAATAACTGGATAAAGTATCTCAATGTATTGATGAACAATAAATACTGTTTTTTTCCTCATATTATCTTCTGGCATGTTAGGCTTAGGAGAGATGCCCTATCTCATATGGACCAATGATAAATAATTTATCAAACAAATCTCTTTTAACACAAACTAATCCTGTCTGGCAGCATCCTTAATGTTTGGGTCTTGTATACTTTATGCCTCTCAGTTTTGACAAAGGACTTTATTTTACAAAAATTGAAAGCCAATAGTCTTCCTAGCCTTCTCTGTTGCTCAATAAGTAACTAAATGATGATGTTACAGAATTGTAACTGATTTATTTTGGTGTAATATTTTGATGAAATGTTTTTGCATTCGTGTGACATTTTCCAAGTTGAAGTCTGTAGGATTCAGAACTATCTGAGCTTTTAGGTCCCCTTCAGGCTGTATTCAAAGTGTATATTTAATGCTGCCTATTGTGCAATATTTTTTTTTCTGGTAGTGGTCTTCACTTAAATTCATATTTTGAGCTTCGTGATCTACATGCTTCCAGGTCAATGTCAGTAACCTCTGTACTATCTTTCTAGTGTTACATTATGTTACATTAATTTTTAATGCCTTAATTGTAAATATTTTGGAATTTAAACAACAAATGACAAATCAGTTAATGCTCTCTACAACAGTTATAAACTGTTATAGACTTCCTTATATATAACTGTTATAAAGTTCTTTAACACAGGAGTTACGCTCATGAAATATTTACTTGTTTTAATACAGAGAAGCTGTATGGGGACTTCCTGAGTTGGAAGCTAGAAGATACCCTCTCCCAGTTTCCTCTAAAACCTGGAAAGATTGCAACATTTACTGTAAACATTAAAGTGAAGCTGGACTTTTCATGCCAAGAAAACCTTCTGCAAGATCTCAGTGATGGTGAGTTTCTAATTTCTTCTTGCTTAGGAGGGTTGTATGTACTTCTGAGAAACACTTACCCAATTGTTGTGCCATTCATTTTAAAATACGGTGTGTGATGTGGCTGTGCATTTTCATATTTGTGTCCTGTAATGCAAAGACAACTGTTCAGTGAGCTGTATGGATTGAAGACTGAATTTTTGTGACAACTGTGGGCATAATAGTCTGACCAAACTTTCCCCTCATGAGACCTTGCCCTGCTATCTTTTTAAATCTTTCTTGACACAAAGCGTTTCTGATGTGTCTCTTTGTGGCCTTATCTTATGAAGATAAAGAAAAATAGTTTGCAAACATCAGTGGGTTTTAAAGAGAAATAACTTTAAGTTGATCATTTAGTTATCCCAGATTGTAGAATTCTTAATTGTGGCTGACTGCAGTTTTGCCAGAAGTGACATACTGCAATGTAGGGCATAATCCCCCTAATATTTGTACTGTAGAGAAAGTTTCATGTGCTTAAACTCATCATTTCTTTTGAATAAAAAACCAAACAAACAGTGGTTGCTTGTATTAGAATTATCTGGAATTACAAGTACCAGATACTTGTAATAAGGATTTCCTTTTTATAATAAACATACAGTCTCACTGGAGAGAGAGATATATATAGAAAAATATATAGAAAATACTATATAGAATATATAGTATATATTAATACTATGTATAGAAAAATATATAGAAAAATACTATACTCTGTATTTTTTCAATTGCCTGATATATTTACACTGATTGAATTAACTTAAAACAAGATATTCCTGTATTTTAAAAAAAAAAGTATGATTATTATTTGGACTGTTTCGCAGGATCCAGTTGCAGGTATGCATTATCAGTGTAATTAATCTTTAAAAAAGAAATATTTTCAGTAAAGAAAAAATACAACAAAATGACATGCATAGCTTATTGAATAGGACTGATTTCTGTGAGGTTATATTAATTGTTAGTAAAGATTTAAAGACTTTGTTTTTTAAACTTCCCTGTTGTAAAATACATAAATTATAAAAATATTTTAGGATTTAACTGCACAAACCCCACAGTGTTGCTTCACTAAGGTTTACTTTAGAACTTTTTGAAAAAGCTGATAGTGGAGGAAGACCACACCCTGATGTTACTGTGAAAACACAGCTGCCAAGGAATTGAGGCTTTGAGAAATGCCCTTGATAGGAAATGTAATTCCATACAGCACAAATTTGTGCTACAAATTCACAGAACTGGGGGGTGGGGGAGCAGATCCGATGCTGACTGGAAGATGAATTGACTGTTTCAGGAGCAGGTGATACTCCATTACTTACAGATCCCTGAACTCTTGGTCCTCATGTACCTTGCAGATGACCTCTCTTTTCCATGGAAATTCCAATGGCTTATTGCTTTCTTATTTTATAACAACTTTTATTAGATCATAATTCAACACATTATCTATTACATTGTATGGAAAAAGTATAGGCCAGTTGATTCAAAATTCAAACTGAACTTCGGAAACTTAGCTTTTATTTGTTGACAGATTAACATTAGTAGGAAAGAAATCAGAGGCATGGAAATGAGAAGGAACTTGATCAATGTAATTGATATAACTTGAAAAATAATTATGCAAGTCAATATTTTAAAAGCTAGACATTACTGTCTTTAGTGCCAGTTCTGTTGATTTCATTTTTGTATCTTCCAAATATATATATATGTATATAAAATTTCCTTCATTTGCCCTGTATCCAAAAAGCTTTAAAGGCACTCTGAAGCTGCACTTGCCCAGCAGTTTTTCAGATGAAGTAACATACAAAAAAAATATTCTTTAAAATATTCTTTAGAAGGAGAAGATAACATACATACTTCTCAGTATTGACATAGAACAGTTGTGGGATAGTGGCTTTGGTCCTCTGTTTTTTTACCTCTATCTAACTTTTATGGGACCACATATGAACAATATCTCGGAACAACATTTTTACCTTGTTATTTCTGCCTCCAGCTTCTTTGAAAGGTTGGGTAATTGAAGCCTGGAAGCAATTCAACCTTTTCTCGTTCAGTGATGATAAAGGAGTAGAATCCGTTAGTGTTTCTTTAGAACTTTAGTATCTTTGGGTGCTATGTACTGTGTGTACTTTGAAAGTATTATTAGAGATGCTAAGTACATCGACATTTTTACTTGCTACTGTACTTTTTCTCTATTGCTTTTAACTTTACAAATATTGTACTTTCTAAAGAGGCAGGTAAGATCCTGATGTGAAGAACAGTAAAGAGCTAGAAAAATCAATGGCAACTATGACATGAGTTTAATCATATGGTAGCTATGGTACCTTTTTCTTTTGCAGACCAGATTTACAATGATGATCAAAATACTTCTGTCTTTTAAAAGTAATGCCCTTAGCAGGGCATCTGTTACTTTGATCTGTTTTCATTTGCTGCTGAATTTGTTTCCTTTGACGCTGTTTGTAATAAGGACATAGTACAGAAAGGATAAATTACTGATGTTTCTGATGATACACTTATCCAATTGGAAAGTAAACTAAGTTATCAATCAAAATTGCTGATCTAATTCTTGTGTGTTGATGGTATACTGTCTCGTAAGGAAAAATGTTAGATGTTCTTCTAGATTAAAGGAAGCAAAAACACATGAGTGGCTGTACAGGATCAGATCAATGACCGTCTAGTCCAATATCCTGGCTGTGATAGTGGCTAAGAGCAGATGCCTGTGGGAGAATATAGGGAGAATCATGAACATACATGCTGCTTTCCTTTAGGCTTTTGGGCTCCAACTCCTGGTAGCTCAGGAACTTCCAGAGCCTGGTAAGGTTTCTCTGTTTTTAGGCATTTAGTCATCCTTAGTGGGCTTCTCATTCATAAAATTCTTCATTCTCTCTGTTAGCACCATACAGCATGCTGTGGCAAGAAGAATCATAGCTAAATTACTTTTAGCAGCTTTGCACTTACTGGTGTCCTTCTGAAATTACCTGGTTCTTGTATTGCAAGAAACAGCTAACAGTACATCTTCTAAACATCTTACCTACACTCATGATTTTATACATTTCCTCATGTTACTGCCACAGTGGTCTCTTTCGCAGGCTGAAGATTTCTGACTGGCTTAGTTGTACCTGTTATGGGAACACTTCCATACTGTTGTGGTTTAACCCAGCAGGCAGCTAAACACCACACAGCTGTTCGCTCACTCCCCCCCGCCCCCACAGTGGGATGGGGGAGAGAATTGGGGGAAAAAAAAAGAGTAAAATTTGTGGTTTGAGATAAAGGCAGTTTAATAGCACAGAAAAGGAAGGGAAAATAATAATAATAATAATGATAATGATGATAAAAGAATATACAAAATAAGTGATGCACAATGCAATTGCTCACCACCCACTGACTGATGCCCAG